CCATCCTCACGCCCAGTCAGTCGCTCGGCCGCATACACAGCAAACACAGATCAAGATCACCCACATACACACCACACACACCACACATACATATCACCCACACACCACACACACACATCACACACACACACACCACACACACATCACCCACACACACACCACACACACACATCGCCCGTATAGCCTGAACAGGAGATTGTTGCTCCAAGGGCTGTTTGTGAGCACCTATGTTTGGAGACTCACCATCAGCCCCCAGCGCTCCGAAAAAACACACGCACAACCCCGTCACGGGAATGTGGAATTTCCACCACTCGCTGAGATACGCGCGCACGTGCATCCTCGAAGTGACATCTCCCGCTCGCGTCGCTGCTGACGGAAGGGACTCGACTCTCTGGAGCTCTGGGTGGGACTTGGTCTACTCTTCCACGTGTTTAAACTAACTTTTTTTATTTTTATTTTCACCAACAAGGCTCAGAAGCTCCTTTTTCAGAAGCCACCTGACGATCACAAATTATAGCTCAGCGAAGTGGCTTGTCATCATCAAGCATGTGAAAATGTGTAACAACTAATACTCCTAAACTAGTGACGTTCATTCTAAATGTGGAGGGGAAAACCGGTAGAAGGACCTGGAGAACTCCAAATCTACAGCCGCAGCAGCAGGCGTCAGGGTCGGGATCGAAACCCACGAACTCCTGCAGACCAGGCGAGGTAGTCAACATCTCCTCGCCACCGTGGATGATGATGAGAGAGAGGAGACACGCAAACTCCAACATACAGGCAGCGAGGTCGTAGGGTCGGATCGAACTCACGACCTCCTGCACACCAGGCGAGGTAGTTAACATCTCGCACACGCCGTGTGAGTAGCCAAAACTTCACCCCCGCCCCCCCCACCGGTCGATTTAACTGCGGTGAACCCGTTCGCGCTGTTGGAGGTGGGGCACAAGGCGATGTGGTGGCGGGGGACGTGAGAGAGGGGGGGGGTGGATTTGAGAGAGAGAGAAAGATGGGGGGGGGGTGTCCAATTATTATATCAACTCTCAACCGAGAGATGTAATCGAAGCTGAGCGCCTCTGCTTCGCGCCGCGAACCATCAACGATGACACCACCACTGTGCTTGCGATCTCCTCCCATCAGTGGCTAAGGGATGGGGGGGGGTATTTATATTCGTTTTCGTATTTCCCGTCTTCATGTTGCGGTGTGCGGGTTGTTTTTTTCTCTCCCGTATCGACACCCGCGGCACTGAGAGGGCCCTTCAAAATGAGCCCATAATTCTTGGCGCAATGACCAGCCGATTTTCTACCTGGTTCGGTCTAAAAATTACTCCCTCACCTCAATCCCTCCCTCGCTCCCTCCCCCCTCCCTCACCTCAATTCCTTCCCTCCCTCCCTCCCTCCCTACTCACCTCCCTCCCTTACCTCCGTAACCTCCCTCCCCTCCCTCCTCCTCACCTCCCTCCCCTCCCTCACCTTCCTCCCTCTCTCTCTCCCTTACCTCTCTCAACTCCCTCCCTCCTCCTCACCTCCTTCACCTCCCTCACCTCCCTCCCTCCTCCTTCACCCGGTCTCACATCATTAAAGCCCTCCTGCACCATGTACGAGAGCTGCATAGATGACCGGCGTGGGTTCTGTCTGGATGATGCCAATCATTTACCTATCAAGGAACGGCATCTTCCAGCCCCGAGACGCAAGCAAGGGGTCCTGGCTATGCGATTTTGGAGATTTTTGTAGCCAATTTCCTTGACGGGGCCCAATGAATTTCTTTAACAAGAAATAAATTCCAGTTAAGGTCCCAACGGGCTGCGACATTAATGATTTTCAGAAGCCACCTGGCCATCCTCAAACGAGAGCTCGACGATTCGTGGCTTATCGTGACGTGGAGATTTAGAGCAAGCCAGACAGATCCAAAACGCGTGACGTTGATTCTAAATGTGGAGGGGAAAAACCGGAGGATCCGGAGAAAAATTCACGCGACCACGGGGGAAAGACAGAGAGAGAGAGAGACACGCAAACTCCAAATAAACAGCAGCATCGTCAGAGTCGGGATCGAACCCACGACCTCCTGTTACCCGGCGAGGTAGTTAACATCTCAGTTTCTCACCAATCATAATGGCGGTAGTTGTAGGTGTACGTATTGTGATCTTTCGCACCCACCGTACACGAACAACAACGGGTGAGTTCCCTTGCAGGGTTGCGCGTCTCTGCCGGATATTTGGTGGCGGAATGACCGACCGGGACGGTGTCGGCCTCGGGGACCCGACCATGATCCGCGTCGCGTTATTTAATTGTGCATCTCACAATCCTGTGTCGATGGGGCCTTTTTGGCAGTATGAAAACGATGATAAATATAAGAATATAGATATTTTTTTTACCATTTAAATGACAACGCATATCATCACCGGAGCATGTTTGTTCGCTCGTTTTTTTGGCACAAGTCCGTGTCGGTTAATGCTGCGCTTGCTTCCTTTGCAAAAGGGAACCGATTCGGCGTTTGGACATCTGAACCACAGGTTTGGTAGCCAGACAGAGTTGACGCCTGTTACTGTATTGATTGGCAGAGTTGTGTGCACGAGCTCCTGGCCTAGGTCGGAGCGCAATGACCCTGCCACTGAGTGGATCGGTGGGGCAGCGCGTCATCTGATCGTCCCTGCAAGTTTCTGTGATCAAGGAGATGATTATGACGATGTTTGTAGGAGGTCGTCGGATGGCTCAGAGGTTAGAGATAGTGAGTGCGTCACCACTGAGATGCTGGGTTCGAATCCGGGTCTCATCCGCCATGATTAAAGGTGATGAGAGAGAGAAAAACACGCAGACTCCAAATATACAGCAGCAGGCGTCAAGGTCGGGATCGAACCCACGACCTCATGTATACCAGGCGAGGTAGTTAACATCTCCTAGCCACCGTGATGATGATGATGAGAGAGAATTTGCGTGTCATCCTTGCGCAGGGGCCATGCTAATCTTCTCTGTATCATTCCAATTTTAGTATATGTACTGCCGGAGCAAGTACAGACACGCAAACTCCAGTGGAGTGAGTTGATGTTCTCTGCCCATTCACCAATATAATAAACAAAACACAACCAATACACGTGGTTATACACTTAAATCGGCTAAATTCCAGCTCTGAGAATTAAAACAACATCGCTTTCACTGTCAGGCGATGTTCTCACTGCACGGTGTACACGGGCGTGTAAATGATTCACACAATACATATTTAAATATCAAACAAAGATGATTATTTAACAAAAAAATCGACTTAGAGGAGGCTTAAGGAGGAGGTCCCTGTTGAATCCCACAAGATTTCCATGCCGAGAGCACGATTGGAATACAACGAGGAATACCAGAACCGCATCACCAATGATAACGGTGGTGATGGTGATGCTTGTGGTGACGGAAGTGATCACGAAACGAATTGTTTACGAACGTGGTTGTGGCGAAGTTGAAGATGATATTCGTGGCGCTGATTGTGGACGTGGGGTTAGCGTGACTCACGGCCAACACACAGTGACGATTACCTGAGCCTCCTCCCCGAGGTCGACTCAGCCTCAAATGAGTACCAGGTGCTGCGTGTAAACATCGCTACTAGGGAGACAAAGGCGGTCGGGCGTGGTGCTGGACCCCCGTCCTCTCGTGTACCGTAGCAGCCTGCAGAGGTGCTACTTTCTAACAGCACTTGTCCCTACAGTCTGTTAAGACCATACGGGGATCTTTGTCTTTGTGTGTGTGCGCGTGTTGAGGGGGATGGTTCGTGTAGCGGTCAGCGTGATGCGCTACGAACCTGGTGACCCGGGCTTGATTCCCGCTCACGGCTGACACCGGTGACGATTATCTGGGTCTCCCCTAGGTCGACTCAGCCTCAAATGAGTACCTGGTGTGGTGCGTAAAACAACGCCACTAGGGAGACAAAGGCGGCCGGGCGTGGTGCTGGCCACCCCATCCCCTCGTGTACCGTTCTGGCCTTCATAGGTGCTCGCTAACAGCCCTTGCCCCTACAGTCTGTTCAGGCTGTACGGGGATATTTGTCTTTGTGTATTGAGAGGAGTGGTCGCGTAGCGGTCAGCTCCTTAAAAACTCGGCGACCCGAGTTCGATTCCCGCTCACGGCCAACGCCAGTGACGATTATTTGAATTTGTCCTGGGCCTCCCCTAGGTCGACTCAGCCTCAAAATTTGTACCTGGTGCGGTGTGTAATAATCATCGCCACTGGGAAGATAAAGGCGGTCGTGCGTGGTGCTGGCCACCCACCCCCTCGTATGCCGTGCCGGCCTTCATAGTTGCTGCTCGCTAACAGCACTTGCCCCAGCAGACTGTTGCAGGTTATACGGGGGTGAGGGAACTTTGTGTGTTGCTTGATGAACCGGATTATTGAAACGTTTCCGGATAAATCGTCTCACTTCGCCTCGCCGCCCCAGACGGGCTGATGAGTCGTTCTGCAGCGCGACCTCCCCACCCCCTCACACCCACGCACCCACACAACCCCCACACACTACACCCCACACCCCCCTCCCCACACACTCCACCCCCACACACTCCACCCCCCACACACTCCACCCCCACCACACCCACCCACACACCCCACCCCTCACCACACCCCCACCACCCCACACCCCCATCACCCCACACCCTCCTCCCCCCCACACCCCCACACCCCCCACACACTCCACACCCCCCCCCCCCACACACTCCACCCCCCACCCCCACACACCCCCACACACCCTCTACCCCCGGCATGAAGGTCTCGGCAAGGTGAGGTCACGTGCGTTTTGTTCGCGCCACGTGACAGCCGTCGAGAGCCTCAGGGTATGAACGAGTCTTCAAGTGCCCCTAGGGTGGCATCAGTATACCAGCAGGGTGGGGGGCAGGGGGGTAGTGCGCTTATTGTAAATATCTTGAACTTCTTTCGCGCCGTACGTAGCCAAACGTGCCGATCGGAGGTGTGCGGTGTGTGTATGATGTACGTGTGTTGAACTTCTTTCGCGCCGTACGTCGCTCCACCTGCCTCCCCTCGACGCTGTGATCGGAGAGGGTGATCGCGCGTTGGTGGGAGGTAAAGTGCGTGTGCCTCGCCAACTCCTTCCCAAACTCCACCCGGTCTGGTTCGACTCACGTTGAGCACGGAATGGAACCCGCGACCCGCTCCCGACTGCGGGTTCGACGTCACCGCGTGCTGAACATTGACTCCACAGTGGAAGCTCCACCGAGGACGACGACGATGATGACGATCTTCAATTGCTCGTCGGCGGGACAGCTGATGTATGAGAGCACGTGGCGTGATCTGCGTTCCGATGGACGAGAGAAATATTTGTGTGTGTGTGTGAGAGAGAGTGACAGACGGAATGAAAAACCCGAGCCGGGCCTCGAGGAATGAAAACCACGCTTTAAAAGAATGGCCGCTGATTCAAATAAGCACTTTTATAAAAAAAAATTGTGTCGCATTTGCTTTTAATCAGCCCAATTACCATGCGTAAAGTGCGTTTAGTTAATTATAAAGGGCTGGGGGGGGGGGGGGGCAATTAAAGCCGTTAATGAGTTGTAAGTGGAACGGGTTCCGTTCCGGACAGACCACCGTGATGCGATGGGAGGACTGTACATGCTGCACCACTTGCACGCGATGTTTATTCACTCGTGCCACGCATCACAGCGTATTCACCCGGCCAGGATAACAGCCACGGCGAGTCGCAGCACGGTTCGTCAGGAGGGTGCCACGTTTGGGGTTCTGATTGTCAGATGTTGTTCAGCCCATCGACGACGATGAGTCGCGTTTCTAGTCACCCACGTGGGGCACGGCGACCGCAGGGCCCTGGAGCACCACCAGCACCACCACCAGCACACCACAGCACCACCAGCACCACCACCAGCACCACCAGCACAGCACCACCACCAGCACCACCAGCACCAGCACCAGCACCACCACCAGCACCACCACCAGCACCAGCACACCAGCACCACAGCACCACCACCAGCACCACCACCAGCACCACCAGCACACCACCAGCACCACCACCAGCACCAACCAGCACACCACCCAGCACCACCACCAGCACCACCACTACCACCACCAGCACCCTCACCAGCACCACCACCAGCACCACCACCAGCACCACCACCAGCACCACCACCACCACCAGCACCAGCCCAACCATCACCAGCACCACCACCAGCACCACCACCAGCACCACCACCAGCACCACCGCCAGCACCAGCACCACCACCAGCAACCAGCACCACCAGCACCACCACCAGCACCACCAGCACCAGCACCACCACCAGTACCACCACCAGCACACACCACCAGCACCACCACCACCAGCACCACCAGCACCACCACCAGCACCAGCACACCAGCACCACCACCAGCACCACCAGCACCAGCACCACCACCAGCACCAGCACCACCACCAGCACCAGCACCACCACCAGCACCACCACCAGCACCACCAGCACCACCACCAGCACCACCAGCACCAGCAGCACCAGCATCACCACCAGCACCAGCACCACCACCAGCACCAGCACCACCAGCACCACCACCGCACCACCACCAGCACCAACCACTACCACCACCAGCACCACCACCAGTAGCAGCAGCATTGCCACCAGCACCACCACCACCAGCAGTAGCAGCAGCAGCACCGCATTACACGCATGAGCGCATCAATTACCCCCTAATTGCTTTGAAGAACAATTAAAACAGAAAAGCTACATTCCCAACCCAATCGCTGGTGGGAGCGGTGGGGCAGTGGTTAGCGCACCGGCGAGGAAAACCCCCCCCCCCCCTGAATTTCCATTCGATTCTCGGCCATGGCGCGCGTCGGAGGCGAGGGATCTCGACCGCCACCGTCATCAGCACCACGTCCCCCGCAGAGCCTTGGACAGCGCGCAATGACCAGCGTGGCGAAGTATGGTCGAACAGTCCCGCTGCCCCCCACCCCGACGACCAGATGCGTCATAGTCGAAGGCCTATAGTCGAAATTCGGATTGATAAAAATTATTATCAATCGTGTGCGTGTGTGTGCGCGTTGCGATAGGGTAGCGGTCAGCGCGCTGCGCTATGAACCCGGCGACACGGGTTCGATTCCCGCGCACTGCCAACATCAGTAACAATTATCTGAACCGGTCCCGGGCCTCCCCTAGGTCGACTCAGCCTCAAATGAGTACCTGATGCGGTGTGTAAACATTACCACTAGGGAGACAAAGGTGGTCGGGCGTGGTGCTGGCCACCCACCCCCTCGTGTACCGTTCCGGCCTTCATAGGTGCTCGCTAACAGCACTTGCCCCTACAGTCTGTTAAGGCTACACGGGGGATCTTTGTCTTTGTAGCGGTGCGCTACGAACCCGGCGGCCCGAGTTCGATTCCCGCTCACGGCCAACACCCAGTGACGATTATCTGAACCGGTCCTGGGCCTCCTCCCCTAGGTCGACTCAGCCTCAAATGAGTACCGGGTTCGGTGTGACAAAGGTGGCCGGGCCGTGGTGTTGGCCACCCACCCCCTCGTGTGCCTTTCCGGCATTAATTGGTGCTCGCTAACAGCACTTGCCCCAACAGTCTGTTAAAGGCTACACGGGGGATCTTTGTCTTTGGAGGAGTGGTGGCTTGGGGAGGCCTGCATCCAGCAGTGGAACGAGCATGGCTGACGAACTGTGCGGACACATCCCACTGATAGGCAGACAATCCCGAGCCGCGGCGAATTTAGTTGATTATCTAATTAATTAATGAGTTGCATGCCCGGGCCATTTAATCGGCCCGTAATTATTTCAAAGACCAATTAAAGCGCCGAACAATTAGGCGAAGGATAAAAACAAAGACAAGATCCCCCGTGTAGCCTTAACCGACTGTTGGGGCAAGTGCTGTTCCCGAGCACCTATAAGGCCGGCACGGCACACGAGGGGGTGGGTGGCCAGCACCACGCCCGTCCGCCTTTGTCTCCCTAGTGGCGATGTTTACACGTCACCCCAGGTACTAATGTTGAGGCTGAGTCGACGTAGGGGAGGCCCAGGACAAGTCAAATAA